CGGGGGAGGAGATAGGAGAGCAGGTGGGGGTGAGGCGGTGGTGTCCTGCCGCAGGTCTCCAGTCTGTGGAGGCACTGAAGACAGGAGGGACACGCTGCGTCGTTTCACCGCACCGAGAGGCGATGTGTGCGTCCCCCGAGCGCCGACATGGGCAGAGGCGGCCCCGTCACAGATGCTTCCCCGTCAGCGGTCACTCCCAGCCCGGGACGCAGCCTCCGGTGTCCACATGAGGAGGGACGGCGGTGCCGGACTCCACTCGGACGCACAGTTGTGAAGTTGCAGAATTATGAAGGCGAGACGTCCAGCATCTGAGGGTTCCCGGGCGGCGCGCTGACAGCCATGGATCACCTTTTCAGGAGAAAGCGAGTCGGTTTACTGAAACCCCTGCTCAGTCTGTCTCTGGTCTTTGCGTCTTTTCTCATGATCCACAAGCTGAAACTGTCGGAGAAGGACGCAGTGGGAGTTAAGCACATGAGGGATGCGGGCTGGTGCGGCTCCGAGTGCTTTTCATTCAAGAAGGGAGTCGTGAAAGCTGGTGTGGGGAGCTCCGACCCTCCGGTGCCTGTCGGCGTCTTGGACTCGCAGCGCGTCTCCAACAGGACTCCGGCTTTCTGGGACGCACAGGTTCTGAACTGCAGCGAGGACGCGTCGGTGAGGACTCAGGACTGGTTCCGGCGCTTGGACCCGAGGTTTCATCAGTTTGTTCTGCACAGGCACTGCAGGTATTTCCCCATGCTCATCAACCACCCGGAGAAGTGCGCGGACGGAGAGGTGCACCTCCTCATGGTGGTCAAGTCCGTTATCGAGCAGCACGACCGGCGCGAGGCGGTGCGTAAAACCTGGGGCAAGGAGCACAGTGTGGAGGGAAAGAAGATCAAAACTTTATTCCTTCTGGGAAGCCCCACTACCGGCAAAGACACCAAGAACCTCCAGAAACTGATCGAGTACGAGGACCGGATCTACGGGGACATCCTGCAGTGGGACTTCATGGACACGTTCTTCAACCTGACACTGAAAGAGGTCAACTTTCTCAAATGGTTCGACATCTACTGCCCCGGCGTGCAGTTTATCTTCAAAGGAGATGACGATGTGTTTGTGAACACACACAACCTGCTGGAGCTCATCGGCTTCAGGGTGGAGGAGCGCAAAGAGGCCGACTTGTTTGTTGGGGACACCATCTCCAAGGCGATCCCCATCCGAAACCGGCAGAGCAAATACTACATTCCCAAAGAGCTCTATGATAAGCCATACCCGCCCTATGTCGGAGGTGGGGGCTTCCTGATGTCCTCCCAGCTGGCCAGAAGGCTCTTCGTGGTGTCCGAGGACCTGGAGCTGTACCCCATCGACGACGTGTTTTTGGGGATGTGCCTGCAGAAGCTCCACTTGGCCCCAGAGCTGCACCCGGGGTTCAGGACATTCGGCATCACCAGACGCAGGGTGAGTCCCATGAACAGCGAGCCCTGCTTTTACAAAAACCTGATCGTGGTGCACAAACTGAGCGCGCAGGAGCTGCTGAGGATGTGGAGCGTGGTGCACAACGAGGAGCTGGTGTGCGCGCAAAGGACCTCCATTTAACCCACAGCTCATGTAAAACTAAAATAAATGCATTGAGCAAAGCTGAACTCCCAGAGGGGACAGGACAGACTGCGCTGAACTGGTCGTGATGATGGTTTCATGGAATGTGCGGAGTCAGTGTTCACCGGATGTGATGTTGAGGAACACACAGCACACAGGTAGTCTGCGTTTCCAACAGTCAGTATGCCAGAATGAACCAGGGCGCAGTGGGAACAGGCTGGACTCCCCGCCGACTTCTTGCCATTTTGTAAAACCACTAGCGCACAGCTCCACACTGTGAACGCGCGTAAAGATGGTTTCTGATTCTTGGTGCCATTCCTTCAGAGACATGCCAGTGTGTGTTGGTGCAGGTATGCCTCAGCCTTGTTCCATCCAGGTGTGATTCAGGACGTCACCATGACGACAAAGTGAACTACGTGGACTTCAGCACAACAAACATCTGCATTCATAGAGGAGTGATTCCTCTGCAGAGCTTTGTGAAATTGTAAAAAATCTAATGATTTCTTTCTTTTCTCTTTTTTTTTTAAAGTTAATATATTGTTTTATTTTATTTTTTAAATCACTGAGTGTGATTGACAGGCCTGAAACCAAAGAGACCAAAGGGCTGTATCACTGTAGATTCCTGTATGACAGTGTAAATAAACCCCTCACAGCTTTGTGAACACAGAAACACTGCTGCAGCATCTGATTGATACCGATGTATGAACGGCACTCTGGGAACCACTCAGAGCAACTTCACTGTCTAAAACGTCTGCAGTCGAGTGTACGAGTGGGTTTTGCTGTCACAGGAAGCTCAGCCTACATCTGATCACAAAGGTCGTCCACTCACACAGCAGCAGGGATCTTGGTTCATGTGCAATGTTCCCTTTAATGTTGCTCTTTTTAACAAATGCACATACATTTCAAGAAAAATAGCAATTTATTGCAAAAAAATACTGACTGCTATGCACATAAATCACAATAAAACATCCACTGTCGCAGTAGTTCTCAGTACAGAAGCAAATTTCGACAGACGTTAGAAATGCAGTCTGATGTGTCCACAGCTGTTGTCATTAGAATATGTTGGAACAATCTGACACCATTGTTAGGATGCATCTGCTCACAGACTGGTCCTCCGTCTTCACTTATTTTACAATCAACGTTGTCGTAACACTGTGGAGCACAACAGGGGCGGAGAGATGACTGATTCTGAATCTGTGAGCTTGTGTGGTTTTCCAGCTAATTCACAGTTTGTCTGGGTGTCATTTTCAGCAGAAATCTAAACTTGAGGGAAAACAGGTGCTACACAAAGCCAGCTGTAACTAGGAACCATTTCTTCTTTTATTATTATTTTAATAGGTCTCTGAGATTAAATCTCTGCTTTGTGTCTCACTTCTACTCCGGATTGTCAGGAGGCATTAAGTAGGGCAATAAATAAAGTCCATTCTGCACTAAAACCTCAGCAGGGAAACATCATCCCTTTGGCAAAGTGCTCCTTGATTGCTTCTACACACTTTCTTAAGACGAGAAATGAAAAGCGATCAGTAAACAGATCTGTGAAGACGAAGATAAAGCTCCTCGCAGGTTGACAATGGCTTTATGACTGAAGAATCACCAGAATCTGGAGGGTTGCCAAGGACACAGGTCTTCTGTTTGTAACTGAACCTCTCTAGTTACCGCCTCTACGAGTGTTCGTCTGAGTGTCACTCATTGTTTCCTGACAACACGTAGTGACTGTAATCAATGAGAAGCTCTTCAGCAGATTCATCGTGTGTAAACTGATGCTGGACATGTTTCATCTTTATGTAGAAATATGAAGCTAAAAACAAAATGCTTAGATTTATATTAGTAGTTGATAAAGAGAAGCCTCCAGACTAGCCTGTGAAAGCAGATGGATAATGGAGTGCGAGGAAATTGCCCTGATGATGTCAGAGTGAGGTCATCAGGGGTGTCTCAGCCACTTTGCCTGCAATAAACTTTAAAGATGTGGCGTCCGTGAGCTGTGGGTATTCAGCAGACGGACAGGATCTGAACAGAGGACGTCACCGGTTAAAGGATCAAACAGTTGTGAGACGCTACCTACACCGTCAGTCAGGACACAGCTGTCACTACTGCTAGGGTTTTATTTATTTATAACAATTACCAATTCTTTTGTGAATCCGTCTCCTGCGAGTCCCTCAAACTTAACAGACGTACAGTGCAAAGGCGATGGACTCCCACTTTAAGCCGTACGCTTCCCCTCCGACAGAGGCTCCAAAACAGCTTCGTGAAAAATAGGAGCCTCGAAAATCCTGTAAGGTGACACCAGTAAACAGAACACTGTGCTCATGTTTACGAGCCCTGCAGGTGTTTGATGCTCGAGGCGTGATGAGAAAACAGGCCGAGCCAGTGTTCTCCTCTTTGTGTGAACTCGGTGGTAGATGTAAAGCACCTCGCTGTGATGCCAGTTTGTGTTAGCTGACGAAACAGGCGTGTTCCCTTTTTGGTCATCTTAAAATATATATTACATTATTAATGGCTTCGATTTATAAAACTGTATTGACGTTTAATATATTGCATAAGCCAGTGATTACATCTGAAACCTCTCATGTGTTCTCAAAAAAGTGCCAAATGTGGGAATATAGAAGCAGAGAATACGGGAGCAGGTGGGGATGTTTGTGGATGTTGGGTTCCTCCTCTGGGTGTAGGAGGGCCTCTGGGTCGCATCCAACGGGTTTCAACGCTTCCCTGGCGTGTATCGTCTGGCTAAGGGTGCCAGGGATGGGATCCGGCTGCCTCTGCCCATGGGCCTGGCTCGGGCCCCGACCGACCAGGCTTGCTTCAGCTTGGCTCCACTGACAGCCCTGCCTGGACACACACACACACACACACATACATACATACACACACAGACACAGACACACACAGACACAGACAGACACACACACACACACACACACACACACACACACACAGACACAAAATGGCATCTACACTCAACGGCAGTGTGATGGCTGAAGGAGAGGAAACCGTTTCCACTAAACAGAGCAGCCTGCATCACCTGTGATGTGAGTACAAACAGGAAGACTTTGTGGTGACGGCAGCTGGCGGTGATGTGATGACAATCTAGAAGAGTTTGTTCCTTTGCTTGTCGCTGTGAGCTGCAGGCTGACTCACACGCTACAGTAAGCTGCTGCTGATGCGTCTGTCAGCCTCATCATGAAACTATAAAAATGTCACAATCAGTAATAGAAGATGCTGCAGTATAGTGATGCCACTCTAAAACACTTTATCACAGGTAAACGTCCTGCATTCACATTTTTCCTGAACTATAAGGCTTCTGTTTACAGTGGAGACGCCCAAAGTGTGCCGACAGGATGTAATGCTGTTTTAATGAGGCAGACAGTCAGCAGCGTCACGTAACAGTGGTGGGAAAACGCACTGATGCACTATTTTTATTCACGTTTCTATGTGATTTTTGAAGGTGGTCAGTAACACAAGCAAGTGCTCTTCTTTTAAAGAGGCTCTTACAGAATGTGTATACAAGTCACAGTCCAGATTAAAATCCAGGCGGAGTTTAAATCTGTCTAGGCGAGATTAACATTTAGATTTTGCTTGGACCAAATCAAAATCCTTCTAGCATCATAGTGAGATTGTAATCCTGTCTGGGTACATTTTAAATCTACCTAGGCAGAATTAAAACTTTGATTTGGTCTAGACCAAACTGAAATCATCTTTATAACAAACTGAGATTGTAAGAATGCCCAGGTAGGTCTAAAATCTGACCACACCGAATGAAAAATCTGAATTAAATCAGAATTATAAGACTGATTTCACCTAGACCAAATTAAAGTCATTCCTATGTATGTAGTGTTTGTAGCAGTCTTGTGTGGCTGTTAAACATGACCACAGAACACCTCTGCATGTGTGTCTAATCATTTAATAATGTGAGGTTCACACATGGTGACGTGTGGACGTTATATCAGATTAACACCCTGTGATGAGTCAAACCTCACTTTATATTTGTCCACATTAAAATGAACCCAGGCAGGATTCTAATCTCATTATGACATTAGAAGGATTGTAATTTGGTTTAGGCCAAATCAACATTTTAATCTCACCGAGGCAGATTTAGAGTCCGCCTGGTTTTTAATCTGGACTGTGACGTATATATCAAACTGTGGCTGCTAAAAACGGTTCACGGTGATAAAAACTGGTTTATATATCGTGAGATCCTTAATAATGTAGCTTAAATGTTTTCAGCACCGGCCATCTACTGTGAGTGCACGGGACAACACCAACGGTCACTCTGGCATCGGTGTCATATAAACCAGCTAACCTTCAACAAACCATCAGGCCTCAGAAAATCCACCACATATACTAAAACCAGGGTTCTAGCAAAACGTCGCTAAATACGGACGCACTGATTCCCACTACAGTCCAAATTAAATCCGTCACTATTTTTACGAACCGCCTTCTGTGTGCTGAGGCAGAGAGCTGTAGTGGAAAAGCTACGACACGAAGCCTTACCAACGAACATTGGCACTTTCTGTAGCTCTCACACTAAGCGTTGGGGTGGTGGGTGTAAGCCGGGGGTGTATGAATGCTTTACCTTGTGCTGGCTGGGTTCTCTGGGACACCGCAGTCCTGCGTGAGTTTTGTTTACAGCCCTCCCTACCCATGAGGTGAGCCTTCCAGGCCTGGAACAGGGACAAAGTAGCTCAGTGAGTTTGTTCCTCTCCCAGCTACTTTCTTGACTGGGACAACCACGGGTGACTGTAGAGCCAGTCAAGGCCCAAATGGCCGCCCTCCCTCCCACTAACACTGCCGTCTTTCATTGGGTTTACACTCAGAGCTCGAGCAAGCGGAGTGCAGCTTCTGCTGGAGTTTTTCTTTAATAAGGGTGTACGAGGTGACAAACTGCATGCAGTGAATCAGATTTTTAATGAGAGAGCAGATACGTTAGAGCTGAGGCTGAGTGTCTGAGTCACCGTGAAGGTAAACACAATCCTGTGCATCGTCTATGGCTCACATCTAGTGTTCTGTACAGTCGCAACATGGCTCATAGGAAAAGCACCGAACTGAAATAGAGCCTTGGTACCGTTTCATTATTATTTCTTGCTGTTTGTTCTCTCTGTTGTTTAACTAGAAGTGTTCAACAAAGACACTCACATATGTGTGAAGCACAGTAACAGAGCCAACACACAGTTTTCAGAGCAAACTTTTAAACGTTTGCTGCAAATGGAGACGAATAAACACAAATGCTCCGGATGGACTTCTGGCTTTTTAAGCATTTGGCCCATAAATGAGTCAAAGTTTTATCAAACGGAGGTTACTCCTGCTGGTACTGACATAAAATACGGTTCTTCTAGTAACAAACTCTTAACATGTCAAACCACTACGGTTTGGTAGAAACAGGAAAAGAGAAGCACATGGATCTTTGCTCATATATTAAAAAGATCTATGGGTGCTTTTCCTTATGCTCCCTGTGTCCTCTCTCCTCCTGTGACCTGGACGTCATTCCCCGCCATCATGGAGGGCTTTGCAGCTCATTGAAGGTCCAGCATTGTGCCACTTTTCAGCCAATGGGACACCAGATGGAAATTAGCCTTGTGCTAAATCCAACATATCTACTGCAACCTGAGACTGTACGTTCATTAATACGCACTGTCCCGTCCAATAAAACAAATGTGTCTTTTAATTTCTAGCTCAAAATACTGCAAAGACGGTTCATTTCACCATCACTGTATGACCCATGGTTCTAGTCTGGTTCTAAACGGGCTGCTTTAGTGCCTGTAGCTCTAAATGCAGCTGAGCTGTTCCTGTCCACGTCCTCTTCAGGAAGAAGACTCTCTATGCAGCTGTGGTTCACGACGTCACACAAAACAGCTTAACGCACTGGACCAGGGCTTTCTATCACTTCAAGCTTCCTCTCTGAGGAATCATTTCACACGGAAATGTCGGTGAATTCACAGCACAGTCGTTCCTAACTCATGCGCTGCATGCCGAGTTATAAAATCTGTATTTTATTGGTGCAGACCGGCAGCTTGGAAATGGCTGAGAGGTCACTGCTTCGTCCTCGTTCTGCTGTCTGACAACAGAAACAAGTGTAAATGAAAACCTTATTGGGGATTTTGCTCCGATAAGACACAGTGATTGTGAGCACAGAGAGCAGGAGGGAGTCAAACAGGTGTAACCTCCAGCCAGGTTCAGACTGACAGGTGACATGACAACAGCCCAGTCCTCGTTTACTGGTTTTAAACAAGAGAACCACGGGTGAATCCTCCCTGAAAGGAGCTAAGGTGTGAATGCCAGAGAGGGAAATGAGAAGACTCATTAGGATAATAAAAAGCACCCTATTACTGTTAACTAGTTTGTGTTCATAAGGCAGTTCCCTTTTCTTCTGGATTAGTCAACAACAGTATGTGACCAACAGATTGTACCAGCGTGCTTTACAACATTAAAAACAACCCATAATATGTTCAAGAGGCATTTCATGATAAATTAATCTGCATGGACTTATCGAGCGTTTCGTGCTCTCTTCATGCGTGTCCGTGCATTCTGACCAGACCTGTGCTGCTCGGACTGATTTTAGCCTCCTTGAAAACAAGCTGCATGATTTATTGAGCTCCACAAAGACTCGGGAGAGAAGAGAAAGGCGACACCGCTGAGACAAGTCTTTGTGAGGCAGAGAATCTTGTATATCCATTTTAAACTTCTCTGAGACGCAGAGGATTAGCGTGGACGTGTAGCTCGGAGGGTTCTGAAACGTGAGCACTGGTTATTTAAGAGAAGAGGCTATTTGTCTTGTGGTTATGTAATATTCAGCACTCAGGTTATATCCAATGCATGTTTATGTTTGATTCTTCTTTGACACGGTCTACATGCTGATTAATACTGAGATGACAGCATCAGTAAATCTGTAGAGCTGGATTTAAAGGAAGCTTCAACTTGTCCTATTTTAATACAGGAGAATGATGACATTTTAAAATCAGCTTATAATTAATTAGCATCAAAAGCATAGGATTATCCTAAATTGCAATGACTACAAAACCTGAGGGATAGATGATCATGTCTTCACTTCTCCCAAAACTAATAAGAATGTGAAGAATGTGATGCCCATGAGGAACAAAGGCTTCGTCTCCTTTGAGGTCCTTAAAGGGCAACGATAGCTGTGTTTTACCTCCACACCTGTTTGCTCCCAAAGCCTCACATTAGATGCTTTCTGACTTCTGTGTTGATAAGAAAGCAACACAAAGACCGAGTGAAGTTCAGGCCTGAAGTCAGTGGAAAACAAACATCTGATATTTTATAATCTAGTCAGAAATGCAGAACATGTTTATGCTGCTTTAGCCCGTCGCTGTACGTCTGTCGATAGCTGATCATTTGTAGCTGTCATGTGCAGAGTCTCACCTCCTCTCCAGGCATGAAGTTGTTGTGACACAAAGGACAGTGGTTGGAGCCTTTACCCGATGTGGAGGCTGAAACAGAAACACGACACCTTTAAGCTGCCCCTTACACAATTACAGAAGAGATCCCCTAAACAGCTAAACTACACCATCGGAGGAGAGCGTATTCAGATACAACATGAGCTTTGGGAATATAATGCAATCTAACTCACTGTCCAGTGTGTGTTTGTAATGAACAGGTAGAACACATTGTAGGTATGCTGTAGTCTCTCTGGTGTCAATTATTTATGGAGCATACGGTTGGTGACAGACAGAGTAAGCTTTGTATTGTCTGGACTTTTATCATGACAATATTGAAACTGCTGCTTGTCAAACATGGCCAGCAGTGGTGCAGCCAAACTGGGCAAAGCAAAATGAAGTTCCCATGAAGAACGCTGACCTCAGCCTTCAGACAGGAAATCAAAAGTCCTGCTGCAACAGGACTTTTGATTTCTTAAAGGGCTTTTAGAGAATATTGTCTGGATGAACTGAACCAGTTGTATAAAAAAGAGGAACATTTCAGCTGTACTGTGTAATAAACTGAAGGAGAGTTACGGTAAGAAAAACATATTTATCCACCTGAGGTTGGTAAATCAGGAAACACCAGACAAACAACAGAAATTACTTATTCGCATTAAATGAATGAGTAACTTTGGGTGCCAGGAGTCTGAACAACTAAGCAGACGTGACATGTGACCAAAGCCAAGATTTTGAAGAACACAACCAGAAGTTCATAAAATCATTGATGTAAAACAACAGTTTTCATTTAAAAGCCAATATTAACCAATGATGATGTGCCCTGAGGTGTTATTTTATTGTTTTCTTTTATTATCTAGTATTTAGATGGAAAAGGATGGAAAAGAAAATGACTCTGCAGTCATACAAAACCAACAAACTGCATTCTTTCCATTGCTTCAAACATGACCAGAAACTTTCCAAAAGCGTGAAAGAGCAGGAGGGAACTCACGGTTGCAGGTGGGACCCTGAACATGGCAGGTCATATCCTCGGTGGCCACGGCCTCGGAGCAGTGTGGGCACTGGCTGAAGCTGGACCTGTTCTCACACTCGCCCAGGAGGTGCTCGGTGAGGCTGGCTATCTCGACTACCTGTGAACAACATGCAGAGTCTCTGAGGCGGTGATCAAACAGCTGGACTGATGTCTGTTCAAGTGGATTGTTAACAGATGTGTCAAAGCCTCTGGAAATAGCCTACCTGTCTGCATTCGTCACAGCGCCGCAGCATCGGGCAGTGTTTCCAGTAGTGAAGGTCCAACCCGTCCTCTGTGAACGACTCGTCCTTTTTACCACAGAATATACACAAGCTGAAACAGAGTGTGGAAACCCCGTCACATTACATCCTACTGAAGCATACTTCTGGAAAGATTAATGTCAGAAAAACAACTTTAAATAAATGTAACACCTCAGCGTGAACTCCACATCAAACACTAAACCTGTGACTGTGGGACTAATCGGACCAAACCAACAGACCAAAGACACTCTTCTTGCATATTCACATTATTCCACCGACTGTTTAAGGATATGAACCGGGTTCTGAGTTACTTACTTGTCCATATAATTGATAGATTGTTGGACATCTGCAGCGTCCATCGTCTTGCTCTGGGGTGAAGGTTCTTTTGTCACAGCTTGGAATTAATGAGAATTATCGGTTAGTTCTCAAAAGTGCATCAATTTGAAGGCCAGTTGGCCAAATTATCAGATTAATCAGACCAAATGAGATCCAGTAGGAGATATTACTCAGTTGAGAAAACTCTATACATGTAGCTGGGCAGTAGGTAATGCCCCCATGACACACTTTAAAGATGTATGGCAAGAAGAAAGTTAGACTCGTATCACATCATACTTCTTTGGTGAGATCCAGTAATTGACAGACGTGAGCTCAGTCCTGTGAAATATTCCTTCAATATCAAATGATTTCAATATTTCCTGTTATGAATAATCAGCTGATACTTCAGAAGGACAATAATGAAAGCTCAAGTCCCAACACAGGTGAATGTACCTGTGGTCATCGACACACAAGTTAGGAAACCTGTGAACACCTGTAATCTGTGACTAGCTACCTGAGCTGCAGTGGACGTCCTCCTAAAATGGTGCAACCAGCAGTGTGGTATTTGCACAGACTCAGCGCGGCATGTCTGGTACCACACTGAGTAACAGTCCTGATACTGAAGCATGTCACCTGACTTGAATCAATTAATACACCATATTTAGAATATTTTATTAAAAAGAAAGGCAAAGCAGCACAACCCCTGCAGAACAGAACATCTGACAGAAGTAATATCTCAGTAACGGATGCTGGTCTCCTCCGTGCTGAGGAGGATTGAGTCCGACATCAAACATAAAGGTGGAAAAGGAAAAATATAAGATTTACTAATGAAAGGTGTACTGAGTGTTGTTTCGTTCCTACTGTGGTTTCTGCATTTTTTACTACAGTGAATTTTTCATTTTTCATTTTTATTCATAAGAGCAAATACCCCACTGTTATGTGACGCACGCTTTGAGAGGCGAAGCCCTTTATAACCATTTAAGTGATGTTGCACATTCAGTTCTGTTGTATAATACAGCAGCGCCAGACGACTGGTAGCACTGGTGTTACACATTACACCTTCTTGTTGTCTTTCATTGACGAGCTAAAACAATTACCCGGCTCGGAGCTGAAGCGGTTAAATTCTTGAGAGCGCTGTTGCTTGGCAACCGACGACAAAAGTAGACGAGTAAAGCTCGGCGCTCCCGTTAAAACGGCCAATGATTTGGGGCATTTTGCATCTCAATGCCAGGAAATCTAAATCCCACTTTATAAAGGGCCCTTCCATTTTCCACTCGCATATAAACACATCAGGCGTTAGAGCTGGAGCTCGCCATCAGCACGTCATTAGTTTTGTGCCATCCCTTTGTGCTTTAGGCAGGCCTTATCGGATCTGGGAGTGTATGCTGACACGAGCAGGAACTCAGCTGCATTTTTCTGATTCTTCCTATGAGGATATGTGTACGTACTTGCTTTGGAAGCTTTATGGGAGTCCTTGTCAACTTTGTGAGGTTCTTTTTTGATCATTTGTCCTTTGATGCTTTCATTTCCTCTCTCCTTCACAAACAGACAAAAAAACAGGAATAGATGTCAGCAGCAAAGACAGATGAAACCACAAATCTTTACCAGTGACAGACAGTTAGCTTAGAATAAATAGTGGCAGTATAATGTAGATATAATGCACCAGCATGCATGTGCACAGACTTTTTACTTATTTGTTTTTACCACGTCTGTGTGAAGTCATAAACACAAATGAGCAGACATTATGATGTGTAATGACAGCTCCACCTACTGTGATCTCTTTCAAGGCAGCCAGCTGCTCCTGAAGCGAGTGGATCTCCTCCTTCTCCTTCTGCCCATCCTGCTTACCACCGCCCTTCTTCAAAGTCTGCAGGAGGAGTGAAACGCCGTTAACCTATCTGTCAGACTTATTTTCAAACCATGCCCTCTTTAGTAGGTTATAACATTCTGGCTTCATTTCATTTCTTGCTTGCTGTCTTTTGTTTCATGATTTCTCCTTTAAAAGCTGCCTCGGTGTGAAGCTCTGCAGACTGTTGTGGCTGCAGTGCGGTGGTGCGGTTCTGTTGGCGACACCTTGGGCAGATGAGTGCTGTTCATTACATCCATCAGACATTAAACTGATACACGATGGTAAAACAACACCACATCTTGGGTGTATTGTGATCACACTCATGAAGTAAAAGGGTAAACGCTAACAAATCGTGTGACGAAAAAATATAAAAATGTTGGGTTTGTTGCAACCTGAGCTGATGTGACAATATTCCAGGAACACTATCTGTATTACACCGTGAACAAACACATCTATGAACCTGCCGTGGGTAATTTGTTTACATAAATGAGTAAAAGCACGGTGATAGAGGCTCTGGTTTGGGCAAACTGGTATCAGTGCAACATGAAACCTCGCTTCCTTTCCTTGTTACAGTCGGCCTGAAAAAAATACAAACACATATAGTCTCTTGTAAAAAGCCGAACTTCAAGTTTCAGCGTTTCAGAGTGCTCCCGTCTGCTTTGTCTAACAGTTTCACTCTCCACCTACCAGCTGCTCCTGCCTGACTATAATCTGTCTGAAAAAAAGAAGCACAACGTGAGCACGCCCATGACCCGGCAGCTTGATGCAGATCATTTAAACACAGTGTTGAGACATCATGAAAATCTCCCATTCTGTGGTTTATAGAACATGGAAACTTCAGGTATTCCTAAAACTCTTAACTGAGTGAGGAAGACATCGAGTGAACTGCAATAGAAAACACTTGCCTGGGTCTCCACCAGCTTGCCGTCGATCTTGGCAAAGCCATCAAAGAGGGTTTTGTAGAGGAAGTTCTTTGGTGTGGCAGCATCCGTGGGTGGAAGGTAGCTGAGAGCAGCGCCTCTGTGCTGCTGGTACATGGATAAGATGATGCGCACCGCCAGCTCTCGAACCGGCGACGCACTGTGCTCCAACGCCGCTGTGCAGAACTGACAGAGGACAACAGACCGTCTGTGAATGACTTGATATTACAGTGGGGTTTCCACCTGTTTCCAGACATTGTATGCATATTAGAAATCAGGGTTGTCTATTTTATAATCTCCCCGGCTGGAAACCTCCAAGAAAAAGCTCATGTCTTCACCAAGACAATATAGAGTCCCAGTCCACTTCTGATCCATGCTCATGTGAATGTCAAAGAAAGTGTAAACCAACCACATGAAAAGATGACTACCTCCAGGGCTTCAGTATATTCAAAATGTATTAATTTAAAGTACAGTTCACATTTCACTATTATATATTCATATGCATGGCTGAAGGGGTGATGACTGTCCTGCTAAAGCTCACAGTAACCAGGTTCTACAGACCACGGTAACTCCTTGTGTGATTTTATGGGGAGAATTATCAGTTGTGGATCTGGATCCACCTGATCTCTTTGAGTAAACTGTTTTCTACTTGAATTGAAACATGCTTTATGACAGGGGTGTCCAGTCCTGGTCCTGGAGGGCCACAGTCCTGCATGTTCCAGATGTTTTCCCTATTCCAACACACCGGATTCAAATGATCAGGATGGCTATCAGGCTTCTGCAGAACTAGATGATAAGCTGATCATTTGAATCAGGTGTGTTGGAATAGGGAAAACATCTAGAACATGCAGGACTGTGGTCCTCCAGGACCAGGACTGGACACCCGTGCCGTAGGGTCACATTGGAACGACCTACTTGAGGAAACAAGGCTGCAGATTCACTATCTTCTTTTAAATCACTTATAAAACCCACTTTCATAGACTCGCTTTTGAGTGATGTTCTCTTTCAGATTTTCGCCCGTTTCTTTTCCCTTTTTGTATCGGTACTGCCCGCTGTCCTTCTCTCTTTTGTCTTTCTTAATCTACTTTTGTCTTCAGCTTTTATCTTCATTCCCGTCTGTGATGTTGTCTTTTTAATCAGTTTTATTATAATACACCTTCCAGTAGTGAGCCAGCCTGTTCTTCTCCATTTTTATTGTATGTATTTTAATATTTTGAGTGTTTGCCTGCACTTTTAGACATGTACGTGCTATACAAATAAAGTTTAACATTATTATTATTATTATATTCGAGGGTCGTTATTCTTGTTTTCTAACAAGCACTAGAAGGACTGAACACATGACCACTATTCGTAACCTTTACACTGACCTCCAGTTAGTCATAGAACAGATTTTAAATCACTTTTCTATAAATTCACTCACAAGGTCGGGCCTAAACATATTTCTGATATGCTGGAAGACTGTGCAGCTAGGAGGTTAGAGGCTAGGCTAACAGTCACCAGCAGAGATGGATCCAGCTTCCTCGTGATTTTAAATGCACCACGAATATATTCACTGCCGCAGCTAAAAATGCTGACGTGCTCTTACTTTGAAAGCTGCAGACGCCACGGTGACCACGATGGCCGCTCTGTTACTTGATGCTCACACCTGTATGGAATGTTTAGATGCAGGTTGAAAACGCTTTGCTAAGCCTTTGTAAAGCAGTTTCAATTCCTTTTGAAAGTTGCCGCGACAAAATCTTGCTTTCTAACGTACAGAAGTCGAGGATTAATGAAGCAATATCTGCTCAATCTTTGCTATATATATAATTTCACGTGCAGAGCAACGACGCTGATGAGACAGTCCTTTCACAGAAGTGCATTTCATGACGTAAAACGAAACACAATCTCTGTAACGAGAGTCAGAACACAAAGACGATCCGGCCAGTGGAGAACATTAACATCCAAACTGTGTACAAAGGCCACCCATCCCTCCCTAAACAGCCCTACGGACAGCCCGCCATTATCCTCTGTTGTCTCTGCCCGACACCTCTCATTTTAATTACAGGAAATTCAATCACCCCCTCTTTACGCTCTGGCTTCTGCCTCGGAGCAGATCACCCGGGGAACAGTGGAGGAAAAGGGAGAAATGTTTAAACCATAGCTGAGCTAACACTGTGGAGAGGGGCGGTCACATGAGCTTAAAGAGCCAATAAAAAACAGACAGCAGGGAAAATTTTAGTGGAGGTGTTCAGCGTGAGCCATCCTGAGCGCTGTGTAGCTTCTAATTAAAAGATAAACTGCTTTTTCCAGAGTAACACAATCAGACAAAATCAAAGCATTTTGTGGTCTCAGACGTCCACAGAGAGAAAAATCTAAGATCTAAAGCCTTTTAAGTACCTCAGGGACATGTCCTGAAGTTATCCTAACTCTGCTGCAGTTGCTCTGGGGGCTGATAAAGGTCTTACAAGCTGGTGGGTAAACCAGCATCAGTTCTGATTAGCACAGTAGCTTACCAGCTGTCTCCATGGACGATTAAAAAAGCCAATTAATGGCTAACCTGTTCTGTGGTAAAGCTGAATTTCCATTTAAACCTGCCGTCTCTGACATGTTTCTCATCAAACTGTTTAATGTGACACTGGGGAGAGAAGGCAGGCAGCGGAACAAAGCACAGCCCTCCTGTCACATCTCAATCCAGCCTGGAAATGTTTTCCGAGCAAACACACGAGGCATCCGATACAAAGGGGTCAGGCCCCGCACAAGCATGCCAAAACATGCAAACTCAGGCCACACAGGGCCACCTGTGTGTTTCTGGCTTTAGAAGGGGGAGAAATTTAGAGGACAAACCTTACAATTTGTTCTCACAGATAACAGCCAAGCAGAGTGGAGAGGAGGGCTGAACGGGGGGATGGTAGGAGGACCGGCTGTAAACCAGAGAGGGCAGGACGGGACAGCTTGTTGGCCTGCCCCGCCAGGTCGACAGTTGGACAGTTTGCACACAGATATTAGGTCACTGCTGGAAACCAGAGGAGTGCAGAGGACATTGCAGTGGGCGCCAGTGGTGACAACATTGACTCAGCTGACCGAAGCTTACTGACAGCTTGGGAGCCGGGGAGGGACTGCTCACTGTAATCACTGAATGTAGCTGAAAGTCAGCCTGACGACTAACACAGGCAGCATACTGCGTGTATCTTATACAGTACGTGTCCTATCACGTTATAGAGAGCATGCTGTGGCTGTTATTTCCAGACTGGAAAGAGAATGACGGTGACGTTGAAGCACTGCCAAAAAGCTGCAGCTGTTAACAGCTGAGACACGTGTGATACCTGGAGCATTCCTGGGCTGCTGTCAGTCATTCTAAGTAAACAGATTAGGTTGTAAGATTTTAAAGTAAAAAGATATTTGAAAATGTTTGGTATGCTGTCGTGAATATTTCTGGCTTGGACACAAAAGCATCACAAACCGGTTTTAGACAGTGTGGCCAAACGTCTCAGGTGCTACTTCATCCATGAATACATACGACGAATGACGTGAATTCATCACCAGAGGGAGGACGCAAG